GAAGCGGAATAGAGGCAAGAAAATCACAAACTATTCTCTTTCTCTGTTTCCAACAGTATTCATTCCTCCTAAATGTATAACATCTCCACATAACCAAACAAGAAAACATCTGTTTCGTGTTTCTCCTTTTCCCTGCAGATAGCTAAATCTGCACTGTGGACTGAAGTCTCGTGGCCCAAATGGAAGAAATTTGCACTGTTCAGAGACTTATTTGATTTCTCTATGTGAATGCTATTGAGAAGAACATTGAGAGTTATTAATAGACACACTGATGTATATGAAAAGATGTCACGTTTTCACTGGCTTTCCATTGATTTTACTGCTAACACCTTTAGTGGGAAAATTGCTGAAATTCATCTTCCCAATGGCCCGAGTAAAGGGACTATTCCACGGTGTGTGCACACATATGTTCAATAGTCCATATGTCCCTCTGTGGGCACAAGTCCACATGAATACGCAAGCCACTGCTTACTACTGCTTATACACCCACTCAGCTACCTTTTGAATGATCCTTCACTTGGAATAAATAAAACATAAGGATTCATAACACTGAGAAACCAACAATAAAGTTCATATTCAGGCTGGGAGTGGGAGAAGAGGAAGATGAGGGGAGGTTGTAACAAAATGAATTACAGTGGTAATTTTAGTCTGTATAACCACGTGTCCCAGGTTGAAAGCAGTCTGGTTACTTTCCATTACGCTGAACTCCATATCCTATATTTTAACTATAAATATAAGTGTAAACAAACCTCGCAGTAATTATTATTTATAACACTGACATCACATGTAATTGCCAATCCTGCCAAACCAATATGTGAGGCCCATGAAAGTGTTAATCATGACCGACAGGAACAATCTCAAGGGCAGTAAGGTGATGCTGAACCCAACTACCAACCACACCAGTACTCTAGGTAACCATCCTCAAAGGACTTGAACCCATGACCTCAGATAGCTTCAAACTCTATGAGACGCAGATTTCAGCTTCAGCACGACAGATCAAACGGTCATTGCTTGAGGGGTTATTCATCCCTGATAAACTAATTGGATATGCTGGAAAACGGCTGGAAAACCTCACACAGTAAGGCAACAAGAACCAACACAGCAGAAGTCATTTTCTGTTTTGGTCTTTTGGTCATTTAATACTATTGCTACCGCAACTGCACTTTTAATCTGTTTTATGCACCCAACAATCAACTTTGGAGTGTTCTGTTCTTGTATGCCGGAAGCAGAGGCTCCCTACTGCAGACAATAAAGATTAAAATGAACTGGTTGCATTTTACAGTCCCTGAGATGCATCCTTAAAACCTTGATTCAATACAAATACTGCTAGTGGTTGCCATGAATCATAATTCATTGTGCTGCATTCACAATTCAAGTAAAGTTACAATAGCCATTTCATTTCTGGTGGTAGTATTTAATTTAGACAATTCAAGTGATTTCACACTGTCTTAAGTCAGAAGTAATAACATTTGGTACATTTGCAAAATTCTTCTTGTACTTTAAGACTGGAAAAATCTCAACTTTATTCTCCCCTCTATTCCACTTTTTTAATATGAGGTTTGAAAAAAAGCAAAGCAACAAACAGGGGCAACTCCTGATTCGGTATCTTGCCCAGGGATACTTTAATGTGCAGACTGAAGGAGCCAGGGAGCAAACATCTGACCCTCCAAATGGTAGACGCCCCACTCTACCTCCTGAGCCACAGCCGCCCCAGTCACAGCTGAGTGTTCTTTAGGTCTGATCTGCTTCACTACATGTGAGGAAATTATTCCGTTTATGACGCTCAATGCTCTGCACTAAAGTCGACCACACAACATCGAGCAAAATAAAAAAGCAAAACCTTCAGGGAAAATATTCAGACCACAGGCCCTCTCAAGGCTGGTTATACCTCCAACCTTAGTCCCCAAAGCTCTTCAGCCCAAATCCAGGCCCTCTTACTCCAACATTTGCAGATACATAAAACCTGCCAAAATGGCAAACCATTTGTAAGCCAAACATGGAGAACAACAGCACAGAGAGACCGTGGATTTCAAAGGGAGGGAGAAAAAGCAGAGACCCCTCCAGAATAGGAGCACTAGGCATCTGTTGATGCTGGCATCTCCCTTCTCTTCATCTCCAAGCCAAGACTGGTGATCCAGTTGAGTGTGTGTGTGTGTGTGTGTGTGTGTGCGTGTGCGTGTGCGTGTGTGTGTGTGTGTGTGTGTGTGTGTGTGTGTGTGTGTGAGAGAGAGAGAGTGAGAGAGAGAGTGAGAGAGAGAGAGAGAGAGAGAGAGAGAGGGAGAGGAGACAGGGAAGAAGGAGGTGCTTACGTGCTAACATGTGCAATGTGCATTGACCCCACTTGGCCCCCATATGTTGCTGAAACAATAAGGATGGCGGGCTACAAAGCGACCCCACTTGTTTTCACCTGTGTTCCTGCCCTGCACACTTCCTCTTACAACGACCTCTATCATGTTGGTGGGAAAATCCATCTGTTGGGCTATTTAAACGTTAGTAACTTACTATGTTTTGTATTCAGTATATTGTCAAAGTTGAATTTCTTGCAATGGAGCCGATCCAGGTCTGTAAGGTAGAACTCTTTTAACATCCAAATACAGCATTAACATAATATCCTTTGAAATAACCTTAAATGTCCTCTGCTGTGACCTTTAAGCTGGAGCAATTTCTCTTGTCATCTTCACTTTTCACTGAATCAGCGAGGCTGTTATTCTCATTATTAGATATTTCAGGTTTCTGTCATAACAGAAATCATCTGAACAGAGGGTAAATTGTTTAATTTTGTGTGGAGGTGTGTGGAGATCGACTCCAGCCTTAATCTTTCATCACTGGCCTGGTTCACTGATGAAACAGTTTTGGAGTAATTGCAGGCAGCTTTTGTGCAAGAAATATGCAGGTATTTTACTGCACATATGAGTGGCCATCCACCATTCTAGCCTAATGGTACTCCTGCATTTTAAGAAAAAAGAGAAAATTAATGAGGAAGAGAAAGATATGATGTCAAGCCAGGGTCTGGCTGCAACACCCATGGAGAGGTTTGTGCATTCACACGCCAAGCCAGTAGGAAACCATTGAATAGCCTAATGGTGTTATGCAGCACAGAAAAGACCTTTGTTGACCTGGTTGGTATGGCACTGTGAAGTACAATGCCGCTCTCTTAAAAATATTGGTCATTCATGATATGAATGACTAAATGAGTATTAATAAGGGGATGAAATATCTCCAGAGGAAGAAATGTCTTCAAATGAATAACATACCGTAAAAGCCGTACAACCATTTAGAGATTTTCATCTTGTACATCCTTAAACAGGAAATAAAAACTCACAGGAAATAACAAATCTACTAAACAGTTTTGGTTAACCATTTAAACCACGCACACGACACTTGCTTGAATGTCAGGGGCACAGATTCAAAAGATTATTCCACTGCTGCATGATTTATCAACCAGGGAACGGTGCCCTTTTAACAGTCTTGTTCTTCCTTTATAATGCATGCTCTTTACCTCAAAAGATGGACACACTGTGGACCTACAGAAACTCATAGGAGCAGGCAGGAACTCTCTCCAAGACGAATCTGGTGTGCACAATTCCCATCAATACTCAATCATTCCGCAACTGTGGCTTAAATTATCGGTCACACCTTCACATCACAAAACCCATGGGTCCAAACGCAAACGGCTTAAAACTGAAACGAGACTCAATGGGATTGCAGGGCTCGTTTTGTGAGGTGCTGAGCCTATTGTGTTTGTGTGCTGTGTACATCCTGCAGGGCAGTCCGTCTGCTCGCTGCCTGGTGTGGAGAAGGGGCTTGCTGTGTCAAGCCAACCATGACCAGCTGGGCTCTCCTGCCCACAAGGAGCCCAGGCGAAGGGGGCTTGGGCCCGTCTGCATCTGCAGGTTGTTAACCTCACATCTTATTGCACTGACACATCAATTATTGTTATTAAGGGCCAGAGTAATTTATTTATATACTGATTTCCCACAGGACTAAGGCAGGACTAATTGAGCCAGGTGTGTATATTTGTGTGTTCATGTGTGTGTGCGTGTTTGTGTGTGTTTTTTCCATGATGGATGGGCAGGGGGAAATTACAGTGCATGGTGAGAATCCGCTGCACAGGTTAATATATGGTGGGACATCCCATAGCATGGAGAGATTATTAGAGGAAGATATTAGAAGACTTTTGAAAATCAGCACTCAAGTTTGTGTTCCTCATAATAAAGAAGCCTAAATACCCTCCACATCATGTGGGCTGTGAAAGTTATCTGAGGACTAAACAGTTTTAAGTGGAGGAATTTCAGAGGAGATGAATGAAGTGTGTTTGTCTCTTTTGTAGAGCTGTTGGGAGGATGTTTTATAGCAGTAATAAAACAGGGAATTAAAGCTTGACTACCCAGCGAGCGCATATTGGAAACCCTAAGCCTTCCCAACTGTCCATCCTTCAACATGTAGCCCTCTGTGTCTCTCGGCCTTGGTTTTGAAGTGAGAGAACAAAACACAGGCTATCTCCCGAGTCTCTGCATTGCTACTACCCTTACTCACGTTAACTTCACAACCCCCACCCGCACTGATGCTGCGTCGTGCGCGCGGGGGTACCGGGCAGTCCATGCCACGTAAAGGAATGTTAACAGAAGACCGCGGATGCGAGTCTATTCTTTCCGTAGTAAATATCTTAATATGCATCACTCGTGCTTATACACTCAACCACGAGGTTGGCTTAGAGATGAACCTGGCGCTGCGCTCACGTGTACGCGCATACTGGTGTGCGCCCGCACAAAAACACACACAGCATTTCTCTACATCTCCGTGTGTAAGCAAATAGAAGGCTGGAGCGTAGTACACGGCAGACACGCGTGATTCACAAGCAGGTAGAACACCCCCCTCCTCATCATCGTCATTAGTATTCACCTCCACAACCGCTTTTCAGAAAATGAAAGATGCATGCGTAGAGGCGCAGCAGCACAGAACCGTCAGCACATCAATAAAGTAGCTCATAAGGAACTTACCTTTAGACAGCAGAACCAGAATCAGAGCAGCAAACACGTTCCGCAAGAGGGGGCAGCCCATGATGGAGTTCTGATTGATTTTATGCTTGTTTTTTTTTTTTCCCTTTTTTGCAGCCAAATGTCTCGGTATTCCTCCCTTAGGGTGCAGTTGCGGGAAATCTGATTAAATATATATAAATATATATATATTAAAACAAAGACCCAGTGAACGAGTGTCAACAGTAATAGTCCAAACGCTTCTACATGTGAGTGGATGAAAACATCAGTCTTGACTTTTCCTTTTGGTGACTCCCGTTGGAGAGAGAGGGGTGGGTAGGGCTGTTTATCTTCTTCGGAGCAGAATCCCTCAACCAGAAAAAAAAATACAGCAGAAAGAACAAATATCCCAGACACTTGATTGGCTTTTTAGTTCACTGAAGGACAGAAAAAATATTTCAGAAAATGCATGAGAAGAAAGGTTAAAATGTAAACTGTCCAATGACCAGATATAAATTTGTTTTTGGCACAGAGCGGGATGGGGTCTGTGTGCGTCCTGGCCAAAAATTAGCCTTCTCCGTATGTCTCTGTTGGTATGCAGCGCGTCTCCTCGCTCCGCACTCAGCGCGTCGCAGGCAGCAGCACTGAATGCGAGACTCACGAAAAGAAAAGAGCCTGACTGACAGTTAGCAGAAAACCCCTTCTTCCAATCACCGATCCCGAAGCAGGAGGCGGGATTTACGATTGCGCCGATGTCCCGCTCAGAGAGGCCGACCAAGGACCTGCACAGGCCAATCGAAGCCGTGCGGTGGGCGGGCACAGCGAGAGGCAAAGCACGGCGCGGTGATAATGCAATGTGATTTATAGCCGGTTTGGTGATGCTGCAGTACTCAGAGAAAACAGTCCAGAGGGACCCAGAGGGCGGACACGCAGGCGTTTTAACTACAGGGGAACACAGGTGAAGGCTAAGGGACAGGTGAAGCCACATCGACTCTGCTGGTAGGCTTTGTACATGATGTATGAAAACGAAATGAGGGAGAATGACAGGCTATCTTGTCGTGGGAATATATTGCCCAGTTGATGTAAATATATGTCAGGGGATACAGAAAATGGTGAAGTTTGTGAAGAGCACGAGAAAACCGCACACTTTAAAGTTTTGCGCTGGACTGATTGATGTCTGTGGCGCTGCAGAAAATTCCCCATCTGATTACGCTCCTGACTTAATGGTAGGCAACATAAACCCATTTAGAGAGACACTTTATATTTATGCAGGAGTCCTAATGAGCCATTTGTAAACATGTTAGTGTCTGTGCTGCATCTGGTACTAAAAGCGGAAAAAGCAGTTGCCTATTGTAAAGATCTAAAGGGCCATTCACACTGTGAGTTAATCATCTTGCTTTAAATCTAAAAAGGAGACACAGATAGGCAGCTATGAATCTCAGAAAACTTTGATAACATTTTTTTTTGCATACTTTCCCAACATTTGGCAATTCATTACAGTCATATTGCATCACATCGGCTGGCCTTTTCAGTTACCGGTAGTAACATACAGCTTATTCAGTGCCCTGGAGTACATTCTTTTTTTGCAGAATTGATCACATCCTTGAGACTATTATTTTCATATTAGCTGATTAACTGTTCCATTTGTTTCTTTATTCCCAGGATAACCAATTAATGCTTTATTACCCCTAAGTGTATAAGTAATAAAGCTTTGCTTGGTGATTTATAATCGAGAGTTAGAATAAATACAGCTGTGGATAAATGGACTACATATCTCCCTCAGATGAAAGATGGAGGAAGGTGAACGGACAAGCACTAAGAAAACTCTGATTAATGAATCAGCTAATCAAAGCTCAGCATTAGTTATGTATAGAGGGTGAATTGATTATAAATAGTATTCTATATTAATTAGATCTTATAAAGTAGAGTGAATCAGGAGCCAATAATGTTTATAATATTAACCATTGGCTACTGTTTTAAAATCCTACTGTCTGATTTCATTATTTGTGATGAAGAAAACGATCCGACAGAGACATACAATCAATACAAGTCCTCTTTTTATTTTGCCAAAGGTATAAAGATCACAGGAGCACCAGCATAAAGACAACAGGTCTTTCCAGAAGTCTTTCTGTGTGAGTTAAATGTTCTGCCTGTGCCTGCCTGGGTTTCCTTCTACATTAAAGAGACCTTCATGCGGGGTTAATTGGTGTTTCTAAATTGCCCATAGGTTTAGATGTGAAACAAAGCACTTAAGTGTATAGAGCGAAGCACTGTGTAGATTGCTTATAGCGTGAAGTGCTTTGAGTGGTCAGTAACGCTACAAAAGAGCTTGATAAATGCCGTCTAGGTCTGGTCTTTGGCCTGAATTATGTTGTTTTTTTATTTTTAAAAAGGGCTTATATTGCTATTGTTTGCACAAAACAACTCAGCCAAGCACAGCATGGTATACTGTTCCTCTAATCAGCATATCCTCCTCCTGCTCTTCACTTGGACGTTCAGTAAATGCCGCAGGACAGCCATTTTACGGCGTCCACATTAGCATAGAAGGATTGGCTCTGTGTGACGCTAAAAACTCTGATCCAAACAAGAGATACAGTATTTGCACTTGGGAAGCTTCATTAATGGTATTCATGATTGCAATCAGTAATTCAACTGAGTTCCTGTGTACTCACAAATATTGTTTATAGACCTGTCACAAATTGCAGTTTGTTTGTACTCTGTTGTTCCAAGTTTTGCGATAAAAGTAGAAACACCTGAGAAAATGTTGACATAAATTTGCATTTTGACGCAGACTTTACACAGCCAATTACCCTCAGACCTCGTCAGCTCCCATCAAACTGCATGACACCTTGAGCACAGTGTAAGCAGGAAAGCGGAGCTGAGCCAGAGGAATATTTCTTAATTTTTACAAAGAGTGACATGCATCATCATATGGAAATTTCTGCTTCCTCCCACGATGAAAAAGTGAGGCCAAAGTATGGCAAGTTACTAGATATTCTTGCTGAGCACTAGAAGCCTGTGAATCAGTGGAAACATCATTTGTCCCATTTTGTTTTTAGGTTTCTTTATTTTTTTCCTCAAAATTACACAAGTTAGCTTTGCAAATTGTGGGCTGTAAGTGAAATAAAAACATGAGTCAGAAGGACACACAGGAAGTGGGTTAACAAGTGTTACACTGCACATATAAATTTATCAGTAGGCTTTTTAAAAAAATTGGCAAGGCTGCAGTCTTACAATGAAACAGCACAAGCAATATAGCATAAACCCACCTCTACCCAGCAGGACCTCAAGTGACATCGATGGGAAGTCAAAGAAAATCAAAGCTCCCAAAAATATAAATACAAAAACATAAATTAATACACAAGTATAAAAAAATCACGATGAAAAGAAAACAACAGTAGAGGATGGATGTTCGGTGAAATATAAATCTATGTTTTTAGTGTACTTGCTACATATAAACAACTGAAAAACTGTACACAATCACCTAGTGTTTATGGCATGTGATGATAAAGCAGCACGAGCCCGACCATCATTTTCTCCTATTGTGTGCTTCATCTTTTGAGAGGTGCCAATTTGAGCACACGGCAGATATTTCATGTTGGAGCTACAAAGATAAATAATCATTTATTGAATAGGGGTTCTCTTATCATTTGAGGGTGAAATATACAGGAATGAATTAAAGAGCGTTATTATCTCGTCATAGGTTCTGACTATTCACTTTAGAGTCATTATGGCTGTTAAGCCTGGTTTGATGTTTTCTATTTTATTAAATATTATTATTATTATTTTTTATCTGAAGGCATTAATGGTCCAGTGTCTGGTTTTAGTCCCACGGAAGGCGAAACTGCAGAGAAGAACACAAGCAATCATATTAATTCTGCATCAGTGTGCAGCGTTGAGAAGTGAGCTGGGATTGAGGGCTCCTGCAGACTTGGAGAGGCTGCACTAAACAAGGGCTCAATAAGACCCCTTTTCATCTCAAACTGTGTTGATGGAGGGCACATGTTTGTGATGAACGAGTAGAAAATGGAATAGGAAACAAAATCAACATAATAGCACGAAAAGATAAGTACATAATACAACTTGCAAAGTACATGTTTAAGGTCAGGAATGAGCATGAGCGTGCACTTCAGCAGTAATTATAAATGTTGGCTGAAGGCAAAGTAATGCAAAAGACTGGTTGAGGCGAAGTGGCTGCGCGGGGCTGCTTAAAGAGGAACTGGGCACCTTTGTTAGAAAAAGAAATTTGTAATATACTAGCAGAATGAAAAGACCTTCTTACTGACAGTGCAGCAGGAGACACTGCCGAGGAGAAAGACCTCATCTTGTTCCAAAGTAACACTAATTAGAGTAGTCATATCAGAGCTCTGACCTTTAGTAGATTTTCTGTTTTTAGCTTCAGTCTTTAATTTCTCTGTAAGTGAAGGTTCTTTTAGCCACAGTAACCAATTACTGCAACTAACTTTTGTCTTAATAATCCAATTCTCACTGCAAAAATGTTACACTATCACCATTCCCATGTTTTGTGACTTCAGTGAGTGACCATTATCTTGTAGTTCTTCTTGTACTTGGCTAACAAGCGTCACGGTGCTGTCGCGGTGCAATTAAACAGAGCTAGCATGCTTCTTTGATTCTTTCCTGGCTTTCTTGTGGCAAACTGTTAGAGTCACTGTGTTTTGTTTTTTGGGTTTTTTGCTCAGTATAACTGATGTACGAAGCGGGTCATGATGCATGGCTGAGTATGAATGGCCACAGTGGGATTGAGTGCATCATTACTCAACAGGAGGAGGAACATTGAAGTTAGTTTGATGGATTATAACTTTAAAACACGTTGGTGTATGATGCATTGTAGCATGGCCAGGTTTGTCTGTGCTCAAATGTGCAGTGTATGCCTGACTCTATGCACCTATCACCCACAGGCAGAGTCACTCAGGCAATGTTAGTGCCTAGGCTGGAATGACAGTAATTTCACACCCAATTACAAAGCAGACCCATACTATAATGTCAAATGTTAGCACCTTGACTGTAAGGACAAACACAGAAGGACACGTCGCCAAGCTTGTCTGGAGAGAGTGGGGCAGTTTATGCAAACATGTCTGACTTGGAGTATGTCTGGCTGGGGAAACCTGTCCCTGAAGTGTCTGTTTTAAAGCTACCAGTTGGGCTGAGATGCCCCACCAGCCTGTTTAATATGGTAATGTGTGGAGATGCGGGCACAGGCACATTTTCCTTCTTTCTCTTTGCTCCATCTTTAAGCCCCCCACATTAATTGGCATGGCAGAGGCATCAGTCACTTGGTTGTAATCACTGTCCCTCTGAGAACCCCACAGAGAAGGATTGAAGGGAAGCGGGACACAGGCAGAGCGAGTGAGAGTCTTTGGTCTTGAAAGGCTTGTCCCCTGAATTATGTCATCCCAAGAGGTGCAAGGAAGCATACAGACAGGGAGGGGAAAAGCAAGAAAGGATGATATGGAACATGGAGGGATAAGAAAGAAAGAAGCTGAAGAGGAATTATGATATGAGCTCCCTGTTGCCAGGAAAATGGAGGACTGCAGATGGAAGAAGGCAAGAATGGGGAAGAAGTAGGAGATTCATATGGGGGATTACGGACGAAGATTGATAGCTGGATCTGTGGGAC